GGAGGAGAGGGTGGGTGATGGGTATTGAGGAGGGCACCTTTTGGGATGAGCACTGGGTGTTGTATGGAAACCAATTTGACAATAAATTTCATATATAAATAATAAAAAAAAAATGCGTGGAAACAGTAAGTACTATGCAAGTACTGTATTAGCTGTTATCATCACTTTATATTACGCTTGTTTACTTGTTTCTTTCCCTTATTAGACTTGGAATCTCAAGAGTAGGAACTGGCTGTTGTTCATATCTAAATCTTTGGTACCTGAGCAACATTTCAGACAGTACATATAAATAAGTTAATGGAATTAAATTATTAAAAGAAAATTTTAAAAAGTTGACATCTACTAAGTTAAATTATCACTTGTTAGGTCCTCATGACATAGGATGTGCTAAATAAATGTTTATTGCTGATTCCAAATTCAGGTATATAAATGACTTGTCACTTTCCTTATATGACCTCCTTAGAAGCTCATTCGCATCTCCTTAAACACACATATCCTTAGAATTCATGTCAGCGTGCACTTAAGTTTGTAAAAAATAATAATTACAAATACTTACATTATTACTAAAAGAAACTATAAGTAGAATGTAAAGATCCCAAATAAGTGATGTTTGTCAACAAAACATTTATAATGTTCTCCTTGCTGAAAATACTATATAGGAAGGAATCTGACTGGCTCACCTCTTTATTCCAAGTGATTATAGGTATATTACAAATATTCAATAAATATCTGAATTAATAAATGAAAAAATATGGAAGGAAGAAAGTAAGGAGGGGAGAAAGGGAAAGATACATGATTTTGTCTATTCCCCCACAACAGGTTATGGTGTAAAACTGTTTATAAGTCAGATGTCTAGGACTTGGAAACTATATAGACCCACCTATGTGCATTTGCAAGAAGTTAATACTACTGATTGTAATGTTGATTTTTTACTCCTTATGACCCTGTTTCTATATGAAATGATACAATAGAAAAGGTACTAGCCTAAGTGTTCAAAACACCCAAACTTTAGGATTGGGCTGAACATGAAGTATTTACGGAACCTTATCTTTTCTCAGCCTTGAGAGCTCTCTTACCTTTTGAAAGAAAGACAGATTAGATGATCTCTAAGGCCCTTTTGGCCATAACACATTTCCAACAGTGGATGATAAAACTTTGTTGCTCCACACTGGCAAAGATAATCCTGTGTACCAACAATTTAGTTCAATTAAGGAAACATTCATACCTAGTACAAACAAGTACTATGCGCGGTGCTGTCAGGGAATCCAAAATTAGTAACAGATAATTAATCTAGTGGCTGAAAGAGGCATGGAAACTGGTTACATTTCAAAGTAAGAAGAAACGCTAACTGGAATGCAAAAAAGTTACTGGGGTACAGAAGACACAATAATTCTGATTTGGAGAGTTATGGGAGACAAAACAACTTAGAAAAACTTCATGAAGTAGGTAAGCATTTGCAGAATGAATCAAATTTTGAAGAGCGGTATTGACATTCTAGAACAGGGACCATGATGAGCAAGATCAAGGAGTGTGGAAACTATAAATAATATGACACATATATACTGTAGGGAGATGTATTTTTAAAAAGATGAAGATGGGAGAAAGGCTTTATCAGCTAAACTGCTGAGGGCTCAGAACTCTGGATGAAGGGCTCAGGGTTTTACTTCATAAATAATGAGCTAGTAAAAGGTTTTAAGAAAAGGTAAGCTGATTCTATTGGCAAAGTGAAATGTTAACTGTACAGGGGACTATGGAGACAGGACCATCATTGGTGCAATTACAACAGCCCTCAGGACAATCAGACAACAGAAGGTTCAAATGGGGCACTGGCTGTTGAGAAGGAATGGCAGCAGACCTCGTGAGTAGAAGTTACAGAGAGAAAATTTCAGGTCTTGTTTTAGCTTTCTCTTTATGCTTGGCCTTACATGAACTTGTCCAATGTGTTTATTAACTGAATCTTGACCTTTAGAACATAAAGTTCACAAGAACAGGTATCTTGTTTTACTTTATTCACCACTGTATCCTCAGCACTTAGCAATAGTGCCCAGTACATGGCAGCTACAAATATTTATCAAATAAATAAACGGATAGAGTGTTAAAAGATGGTGAAAATGGTCATCCCTGACAAGTACAGAGTAATATGCATACAGTCTATCATCAAGTTATGAATAAAGATGTTATAGAATCAAGAAAATAATGCTTTAATTACCTGTACTTGGCTGGCCGTGAGGATCACAGTAATTCTCTGTAGTCATGAAAATGACTGCCAATCCAATTTCTGCTTCAGGAATAGGTCTAAGACCCTGCCTGTGAAAATAAAACAGATTAAGTATGATAGTATACTGAAACTAACAACTCTTATTAAAGTGGTACCAAGTTGAATCTTTTTATTCCTTCCTTAAAGAGGTATCACAATTTTACGGTATGGAGAGAATTTCAAATACACTGAGTACTGGCCTACTAAATTGGGGCAATGCTACACTGGGCAAGCCCATCACCTTTTAGTAACTCGGTTATTTCATCTGGAAATAAAACCTAGAATAAAGGATATAGAGACTTCCAGTTCTGAAATTCTGTAATTTTTAGAATTAAAAACAAAACAAAAACAAAAAACAGTAATGCCCCGATGAAGCAATATATTATTCTTTAATTTTTAACATTTATTTATTTTTGAGACAGAGAGACAGAGACAGAGCACAAAGAGGAGAGGGAGACAAGAATCCGAAGCAGGCTCCAGGCTCTGTCAGCATAGAGCCCGACGCGGGGCTTGAACTCACAAACTGCAAGATCATGACCTGAGCCGAAGTTGGTCACTCAACTGACTGAGCCACCCGGGAGCCCCTAAAAGAAATTTTTGTAAGCAAACCTAATACTAGGATCCAAAGATAAAACTTGAGAGACAGAAGACGGTAGACAGGGAAGGAGAGAGAAAACTACAAAGAACTATCATAAGCTGTATCTATACATGTTTTATAATTTAAAGTTTAGTAAATAAAATCATTTTACCAAATTTACATGTATTAAGCAAACTTATTAAAGAATCATACAGTGAACGGTACGTACCTTCTGTTTTCTGTGAATGAAACAATAACTGCCATATAGAAACACTACCTCAGACTTTAAGAACTATAAAACTCCTTTAAATGCTTATTGTAAAGATGTTTTAAGTGGTTGTAGTTTAAAAAGTCTTTTTCAAATGCTAAACATTTTGTTTACGTCCTAGGTTTATGTAAATAAGATTCAACCGTATGTGCAATTATGACAATACCATATTAAAATATATTTTTAAAGCAGAATAGGGGCGTCTGGGTGGCTCAGTCAGTTAAGCATCTGACTCTTGATTTCGGCTCAGGTCATGATGCCATGGTTCGTGAGACTGAGTTCTGTGCTGGGCTCTGTGCTAACAGTGTGGAGCCTGCTTAGGATTCTCTCTCTGCCCCTCCTCTGTGTGCACACGCTCTCTTTCTCAAAATAATAAAACCATTTTTTGAAAACAAAAAAATTTTATGGGGCTCCTGGGTGGCTCAGTTAGTTGAGTGCCCGACTTCGGCTCAGGTCTGATCTCACCGTTTGTGAGTTCGAGCCCCGCATCGGGCTCTGTGCTGACAGCTCAGAGCCTGGAGCCTGCTTCGGATTCTGTGTCTCCCGCTCTCTCTGACCCTTCCCAGCTCACACTCTGAGTCTCTCACCCTCAAAAATAAAAAAACATTCAAAAAATATTTTAAAAATATTAAAAAAATAAAGTATTAAAATCAAGTGATCACATATCTATTTATAATTCAGGTAATTCAAAATTGATATTTTATTACCCTTTTTTGAAACTGTAAATTATGTAAATTAATTATAAAATTTAGCTCCATAAAATAAAAACATTTTTAACATATAATTAAAAATGCTACACAGATACTATGTCATCCTAAATGGGGAAACACAATCCTTTTAAAGTCAATAGTGAGATAAATGTGGCTACTAACCCTAATTCAACACTACTCTAGAGGTTCCAGTAGGTATGAACAGAGAAAGATAGAAAAGGAGAGAAGTATCAGAGGTATAAGGATCTAAAAAAAAAGGACAAAAACTTTACTTACAGATGAGGATTTTTACAAAAAAAAAAAAAAAAAAAAAAAAAAAAAAAAAAAAAAAGACCGCAGATACATTAGAAATAAAGGGGAGGCTAACAAAAGTAACAGGATATAAGAGTAATATCTAAATGACTACTGAATTTATATTAGAAAATGTAATTAGAAATAACATATTTATGTTCTACTTACCAGACATATAATATCTACCAAAAAATATGTAGTACCGAGGAATAAATCTAATAAAAGGTACTCATGATGTCTATAGGGAAATTATAAAAATTGTTAATTCTCCCCAAATTGATTTGTAAATTCAATGGCATTCCTAATCAAAATCCCAGCAAGGTTTCTGAAGATGACTCAAAATGTATATGGAAAAATACAGAGCAAAGAATGGACAGGACGATTCTAAAGAAGAGCAGAAAGATTTACCATAGTAGATTATGAGGACTTGATGTTATAGTAATTAAAACAATGTAGTAAATGTGGTGTTGGTACAAGAACAGACATAGTGACCAATGGAATAAAGCCAAAAGCATCCCTATGCATGTATGGAACTTTGGTATAAAACAGAATCAATTCCAGATAGATTAAAAATAAATTTCAAAAACAAAATATCAAAACAGTAGCAACAAATTAGTAAAAAGCATAGGTGAATATCTTTTTAATCTAAGAACAGAAAGATTTCTTAAGTTTTTTTTTTTTTACATTTATTTATTTTTGAGAGACAGAGACAGAGCACAAGTGGGGAAGGGACAGAGAGAGAGGAAGACACAGAATCCGAAGCAGGCTCCAGGCTGTCAGCACAGAACCCGATGCGGGGCTTGAACTCACAAACTGTGAGATCATGACCTGAGGTGAAGTCAGACGTTTAACTGACTGAGCCACCCAGGCACCCCTAGAAAGATTTCTTAAAATACAAAAAGCACTAAGAAAGAAAAGGTTATTTAATGTTAATTTTTAGTATATTAAAATTAAGGGCTTTCATGTATCACCAGTAAAACACTAATGACAAAGTGGTAAAAGATTTTGCAATACATACAAGTGAAAAAAGGAATAATATTGAGAAATATATAGAACTTATACAAATAAAAAAGAAGAGCATACAAATATGCAATTACCACATGATCCAGGAATTGTACTCTTGGGCATTTATCCCAAAGAAATAAAAACTTATATTCAAAAGAAACTTACTTGTACATGTATGGTTATACAGGTTTCATTTTTGACAAAGACTGGAAAAATGCAGATGTCCTTCAATAGAATGATTCAACAAACCGTAGTATATACATATATTTATACATAACACTAATGAGCAATAAGAAAGGATGAATGACTGATACGCACAACTTAGGTGAATCTCCAAGGAATTATGTTAAATAAGCAGCCCAGTCCTAAGGATTATATGCTATATGATTTCATTTATACAACATTCTTTTAAAAGAGAAAATTTTAGAAGTGGAGAATAAGTTAGTGGTTTGCCAGGATTTGGGAACATGGAGTGGGAAGTGAGGACGGAGAGAGGAAAGGAGGGAGGGAAGTGGGTGTGGCTATAAAAGAACAACAGGAGGGATCCCTGTGGTGATGGAACTGTTCTGTGTCTTGACTAAGGTGGTGAATATATGAACCTACAAATGTGATAAAATTGTATAGAACTAAAACACATTCATACACACACACAACTGAAAAATCCATATTTAAAAAAATAAAACAATTACACCAATAGAAAATGAGGTCAAACACATGAACAGCTATTTCAGAACAGGAAAGACAGATGTCCAATAAACATTAGAAAGAAATGTTTCTCACTGGTGATGAGAAAAATAGAAATCAAAATCTTAAGACATGAATATACATCCATTCAATTAACAAAAATGGTAAGTCTAAAAATATCAAGTGTTGAAAACAATGTGCATCTACTTGATCTTTTATATACCGTGGGTGGAAGTATAAAGCGGAAAAGAATTTGATACCACCTCCAGAGGTTGAGTGTTCACATAACCCATGACCCAGCAGTCCTAACCCTAAGAATATTCTCCAAAGAAAATCTTGCATTAAGTACAACCAGGAAATATAAAAAATGATCTTAATAGCAATGTTTACAATAATAAAAACCAGAAATAAGGTATTTTTCAATGTGGAAAAAATGAATGAACTGTGGTCTATTCGCACAATGAAACATATTTTACCATCAAAACAAATTACAGCAACATGCAACAAAATGGATGAATTCTTATTAGCAATGTATCAAGTGAAAAAAATCCCCAAAGATTACATGCAGCATGAGGACCAGGTTATCAAGTTAAATCAACTAAAACATACATACACATATTTTAGGAATATATTAAAAAACAATAAAACTGTATATAAAATGATAAGCAAAGGATTCAGGAAGATAGTTATCCCATGTAGGGGGGACAGTGGGCTAGGAGTATCCTATTTTAGAGGTAAGTCATTTTCAAGTACCTAGCTTGTATTCTGCAGAGCAGATTCTCAGATATTTATTATGTAATTTAAAATACTACTGGGGTGCCTGGGTGGTTCAGTCGGTTAAATTTCTTGACTTCAGCTCAGGTCATAATCTCGCAGTTTGTGAGTTTGAGCCCTGTGTTGGGCTCTGTACTGACCACTCAGAGCCTGGAGCCTGCTTTGGATTCTGTGTCTTCTACTCTCTCTCAAAAGTAAACATTAAAAAATAAAAAAATAAATAACTACTTAACTAGTGAACAAAATTAAGTTGTATTAGTTATGATTCCATGATGACAGTGTATCATGAACCAAGGATTAAGACTCATCCAATTTTGTGCAAAACTGTGCAACAGGTGAAGAGAGGAAAAGGCAAAGAGGAGGAAAGGATAAAGAGAAGATAACTAAATTAGTAACAGGAAGAGTTCCCAAATTTGAGCTAAGATACTGGGAATATACCTTAGCAAGGACAAAAATCATTTCCCTTAGACTTTGAAATTTTCTTCACAAGGTATTTAATTTTAACCACTGATGTCCAATACCCACTTTTTTTTTTTTAATTTTTTTTTTTTTAACGTTTATTTATTTTTGGGACAGAGAGAGACAGAGCATGAACAGGGGAGGGGCAGAGAGAGAGGGAGACACAGAATCGGAAACAGGCTCCAGGCTCCGAGCCATCAGCCCAGAGCCTGACGCGGGGCTCGAACTCATGGACCGCGAGATCATGACCTGGCTGAAGTCGGACGCTTAACCGACTGCGCCACCCAGGCGCCCCCAATACCCACTTTTTACAACTAATCAATAGAACTATGGCAGTAGCCAATCCCAGTATTGCCTTGTCTGAAATTCAGTTAATAGCTGGCTTTACTGGCCACCTGCCTGATCTAACTGCACGTTCAATGACTATCAGTGGCTTGGACTAAGTGGACACATGTTACCTTAAGTGTCGGTCTTTCTCAAATTATAAAACTGCCTTCCCTCCAGAACCAAATTGTAATGGGGCCAAATGTCACCGTATGATGAAGGCACCAGCCTCTGATCAACTTTGTACTCTAGCTACTTTCTTATCTCGGGGTCACGGTACATGCTGAGAAGCAGTGAGATGTAATGGTGAAGAGCATGCACTCTGCATCCAGGCTGCCTGGGTTCACATCCTGGCTCTTGCTCACTCCCTGTGTTCTACCCCTTTTGTCTTATCTATACAATGGGTACCATAACAGTAGATAATACACAGAGTTGTGTGAGGATTAAATGTCTTTATATATGTTAAAACTCTTAGGATCTGCTATACAGTATTCTGTAAGCATAGCTTTCACTACTGCTGTTTTGCCTGGCTTTCAAAGACTGGTCATAGGTAAAGTATTGTCTAAAAGAGGCCTTCTCTTCTTTATGCTATTTAAAATAAACTTCTTCCCCTTGCCTTGTTATTCCACTTCCTTTATACACATTTGTAATTATCTGGTTACTTGTCTTAATCTGTCTTTCCCTCTAGACAGTAAGCTCCAATGGTGGCAGGGACCACAGCCACCTTGTTTACCACTATATTCCCAGTGCCCAAAACATATGAAAACAATAGTAAATTCTGGATGTAGTAGCAAGATATCACCATTTTTATACAAGTATTTTCTTTTTGTAGCAGTTACTACATCTCCATTAAATAAAATATTTATAGGGGCGCCTGGGTGGCGCAGTTGGTTAAACGTCTGACTTCAGCCAGGTCACGATCTCGCGGTCCGTGGGTTCGAGCCCCGCGTCGGGCTCTGGGCTGATGGCTCAGAGCCTGGAGCCTGTTTCTGATTCTGTGTCTCCCTCTCTCTCTGCCCCTCCCCCGTTCATGCTCTGTCTCTCTCTGTCCCAAAAATAAATAAAAAACGTTGAAAAAAAAATTAAAAAGAAATATTTATGGGACAGATGACTGAAATATTAACTTTTGTTTCAGCAAACATATAAATAAAATCAATCTCCATGGGTAGAAGGACTATTGGGACAGGAAAAATGAGTATTGTAGGGAATAGCTATGGACTTTTTAGATATATTAAATAGCCTACGCCGTAACTACTTTTTGGTAGGTGAATAGAAATTTGGTCAGCAGACTGCCAAGCCTGACATTTTTACAATACTTTTAAGCTTCAACAATGCTAAGATCATTAATATCAATAAAAAGTTTAAGAAAAAAACCCTTTGATTATCTCTTTCGCACCCTCTCTCCCCACTACAAATCCTATTATTGAATATATAGCATTTTTTCTTGCTTTTGCATGGTAGCCTATATGACAGGACTTAAGATTTTTATATGCACTGACCAAAGAACAAATACATTTCAGTTCTAGGCAATTTCAGAAAAAAAAACTTACATTTGTGTTTGTTATAAAGATATTCTATTTCTAGCATACTAAGTTACAATAAATTTTCAGTTATAGATAAAATTGCTTTTTTTTTTAAATAAAGAATCATTCTGTACCTTTGGAGCATATCCATAATTGAGTGAATCCATGTTTTCTGAGCGTCAGGAATTAGAGTTTGTGAATTTGTTACTCCTACATCAACAACACAAATTCCAGGAGCTGAAAAGAAACTATCTTCTTCTTCATTTTCTTCTGATATCAACCTAGCATCTCCTCCTCCAAAAATAACTGCTGAACTTAACTTTTTATGCTAAAAATGGAAACAAAAAGTAATGAAATAGCCCCAATTTTTGAGTACATTCTTTTTTTAAATTTATTTTAATTCTAGTATAGTGAACAGTGTTATATCAGTTTCAGGTGTACAACACAGTGATCCACACATCGCCCAGTGCTCATCATAACAAGTGTACTCCTTAGTCCTCTATCACCTATTTCACCCCCACCGCCTCCCCTCTAGTGACCATCAGTTTGTGCTCTACAGTTAAGAATCTGTTCCTTGGTTTGTCTTTTTCATTTGCTCATCTGTTTTGTTTCTTAAACTTCACATATGAATGAAATGGTACTGTATTTGTCTTTCTCTGACTTATTTTGCTTAGCATTATACTCTAGACCCATCCATGCTGTTGCAAACGGCAAGATTTCATTCTTTGTTTTACGGCTCAGTAATGTGTATACACACACACACACACACACACACACACGTAGGTATGTGTACATGTATGTACACACATCTTCTTTATCCATTCATCTCTATTAGGGAAGTAACATAAAAGTACAATTGATTCTATTTTTTGAGAAGACAATCTGAGCTTCCTCTCAGAAAATCCCTGGTTCACCAGGTATCTCTTCAGCTGTGGAATTGTTACGCTGTTTGCACTTCTTTATCATAATTCACAGTGCTCTGTGGGTTTGCCTGCATTTTTGCACCTACAACTTAAACTCCTTGAATGCCCATTTTGGCACATATAAGACATTCAACACCCGTTTACTAACTGACCAAGTAAGGACTTAAATCAGTTTTCTGTCCCCACTCCCCCACTTATATATTAACATAGCCTTAATTATCCAATTAATATATGTCAAGAAATACCATAATCATATACATCAACAATGGGAAAGTTCTGGTGCCTGGGCCAGTTTATTTCACTTCACGCTTCTATACAAAATCTCAAAAAAAAGCATTTACTACTGTTAACGTTATTAATTTATCCTAGTTTATAACATCTTCATTAGGAAAATTTAGCCCATTACCTGTTTGGCATTTAGAAATACAAATGTTTTCCCTTTGAAGATTTGCTTTCTCTCCTGTCGTCCTGACAGATCAATGTTTTTATTTCCAATAACTGGTTCATCAATAGGTGGGTAAAAGCTGTAAAAAAAAATTTTTTTAAAGAATATTCTAATTATATACTATTCTGTATGTGTACTGTTAAATTTGTAAGCAGAGTAGCTATCTAGACACTAGAAAGGTTTAATTTCCATAACACCATGAAAAAACATTTTTTTTTAAAGTTTTATCTGGGACAAAAAGGCAAAAAGCATCTAGAAAAATTGTGACACATGCCACATAAAATAGCAGAACTGTTCTCTATTTTCTGAAAAAATATAATCCAAGGGTAGACAATCATAAAATACAATTTAATAAACATGAATCAAACAAGTTATGTGAATTACAAAAGGCTGAAAAAGACAATGTCCATAAAGATCAAATTCTATTGGCATCTCGGGTTTCCTGGGAACCAATGTGTGTTAATGTTCACATCTAATTCTGTGAACTACTATTGTGTTTTATTATAAGTCCATTGGAGAAGCTCAGGAAATTTTAAAACTTATTTTTGTCAGTTTAAATAAAACTTCCAAAGTGAGATTAAAAAACACAATCTTTTAGCTCTTTAACATAATGCTGTAAGAACACCTTAATCATCCATGAAAATGAGAGAAAAGAAGAAAATACAGAAGCAAAATCAACAGATAATTCTTCCAGAGCCTTCCACAGTTCCAACTTTCTACATAATCAAATCTTTTGCTACAACAATTCAGAATGGACCAGCCTTTCAGCTTATCCACTTTCAAGTAAAAATTACTAATTACTAATATTCATGAATAAGAAGACTCAATATTGTCAAGATATTAGTTCTTCCCGACTTGATCTATAGATTAAACATAATCCCAATAAAATTTCCAGCAAGTTACTTTGTGGATACTGACAAACTGATTCTAAAATTTACATGGAGAGGCAAAAGATCCAGAAGGCCCAACACAATATTAAGGAAGAACAAAGTACTAATACTACCCAAATTCATGATTTATTATAAAATTACAGTAATCAAGACAGTCTGGTATAATGAAAAAATAGACAAGAGACTAGAGAGCCCAGAAACAAACTCACATAAATATACTCAACCGATCTTTGACAAAGGAACAAAGACAATACAGGAGTTCAGTCTTTCCTTTTTTTTTTAAAGGGTTTTTTTTGTTTTGTTTTGTTTTGTTTTTTGAGAGAGAGAGGGAGAGAGAATGAGCATGGGAGGGGCAGAGAGAGAGGGAGACACGGAATCTGAAGCTGGCTCCAGGCTCTGAGCTGTCAGCACAGAGCCCGATGCGGGGCTTGAACTCATGAACCCCCAAGATCATGACCTGAGCTGAAGTTGGATGCTTAACTGACCGAGCCACTTAGGAGTCCCGA